TAGTCATCGGTAGCTATTTATCTACTTGGAGTTGCTGGTCAAATAAGAATGTGATTTTTAAATGAGGAGAAGGTAGCTGAGGTCGATGGTTGAAGTTGTTCACCCTTACACCTTGTAAAAGTTATGTGAACCCCGTGTAAAAGATCATGCTTGTTGTGAACCTGTTACGATTCTCAATTATATCTCTTGACAGTGTGGTGTATATATCACGTCCGTACGAATTTCCTCCCCGTCGGTCAATGTTTGTGGTGTTGAAATTCGCGAGGAAACCCGGTTTCGCGATGCGGAACCCCGAAGGCTTGCTTCGCGAACGATTTTTCACCAAGCGAAGAATATCATTTACCACCAGCACATCTCGGCGAATCTCGAACGAAACTGAGGTGGTACACCAAGTGAGTGGCATGTGTGCGCAAAACTCCCCGATTGGGACAGTCGTTGTGGTCAACGAGGAATTACACTGAAATATTTCCCCCTCTCACACAGTCCTGGTCTTTCCTCAGGAGTTTCCGGCGGACACAGAACAGCCCCCTCTCGCACCGCTCAGCAAGGTTAAGTCTCAACAACACGGCAGCTTCTACCTCCAATAATTGTGACTAGGAATGGAGCAACCTCCAATAATCGTAACTAGAGATCGAGCCGCCGCCAAAACTGCATCGTCAGTCCGACGATAATCAAACAGCGAGCCCGTAGGGAAGATTCCTGTGTCGGAAAAGCGGTCCGAGAGTCGGGATTGCATCACAGACCAGTTAGTATCCGTGCAGTCCTGGTGACATCGCGAGCGCGCCTCGGCTATACGTTACGTCCGAGCCGAGACGAGCTATGGGCCGCGAAACAACCAATTCAAGCTCTGTATTCTCAGCGCTCTCCAGCTTGCGTATCAAGTATAAAGTAACAACGGTGTCTCCACATTATACGTTCGATAGCGCATCCGTCTCGCGCATTTGTCTGATTTTTAGTAAGCCACCGCTAATCGCGTTCCGTCGTCGGACACACTTTGTCGTCGCATCGACGAGCTATCTTGGTGCCATCCCGCTGCCGCCGGTCTTGCAAAGAGTCTCCCCAAAGCTTACCGTCTTGGTCCGTCTCTCCTGTTCGCTTGATTCACAGCATTGACTCATAGGACCAACGATGGGTGCATTTTCCACAAGATCGACCCTTACCTTTCTGGTCGCACTCATAGCGATGCTAGCAGCGGTTTCCCACGCCCTCGGCAGCCGCGAATAAAGTGTAGGGACACCTACAATGGCTGGGCTGAAATTTGGTATTCCTCGGAGGGCAATGCGGCGTGTAATGCGGGGACCCAGCGACCAGATCTCCGTAGATCCCTCTGATACTCCCGCATTGCGGCCACACAGCGCCTCTGCACCTCCGGCGGGGGACCAGCAGCCCTCACCTCTCCGTTCAGCCACCGCTTCCGCCGCCCCTCCTGGGGCAAGGCTCATTCCCCTGCGTGGCGCGAGATCTGCGCGAACCGCCGTGTCGCCATACGCAATAGTGCCAAATTCCACTGTAACGGCCCAGAGCTCGTCCGCGACGCGGTTCGTCCCTCTCAGGCTGCGCCTCGGAAAGCTGCAGCATCAGCTGCAGCGGCGCGAGCTGGAGGGTGCGATGGACATCGCGAACCAGGGTGGCCCGATACTGGCCTACCCGAAGGTGTACTTAATCTACTATGGGACCTGGCTCGAGGGGGCCGGGCAGGATGTGATTGAGAATTTCATAAACTCGCTGGGCGGGGATACGGGGAACCAGGGGGACCAGACGGGGGAGAACAGTGTGCGACGGTGGTGGGACATCTCGACCAACTACTACCAGAATAACGACGACGGCTCTCAGACGTTCGTCAGTCCCGAGGTGAGTGTGTTGGTGCCCCGTGCCCCCGTGCCCCGTGCATTTCCATTTTTTGTGCACTTACAAACATGCGATGGTCGCCTGCTACTCCTCTCAAATCGCATCATTTTCGCTTCATGTGCTTATACTATTCGGGCTCACTACTTTTACACCCGACACCCTCACCCGAATCCGAGTCAGATCGTGTTGGGCGGCACGGTGACAGACGAGGGATCTAACGGCTGGGAATCCATCGATTTGGGGATGATTGAGTCATGCGTGTGATTTTTCTGCTGGAACCGCGTTGCTCGCTTCGTTGTCATGCTATGCCATCATTCCCTGTTGCCTCTCGTATTTCAAACTTACTTCCTCAACCCCACCTTTTCACTCACCACAACCATCCGCTTCCACCCACCCATCCACTCCCCCCCAGCCCTTTCCTTCCCCCGCACCCTTTCATCCCAAACCCCCCCCCCTTCCCCCGCCGCTCCGTCCATCCCCCCTTTTCTTCGCCAGTCGTCAGCACGCACGTCGGAACGGAGCTGCCCGTAGACACTGACGGAATCTACCTCGTTCTCACGAGTGCTGACGTCAAGGTTGACGGATTCTGTGACGAATTCTGCGGATTCCACACCTCTCATACTTTGGATTCGGGGGAAAATGTCGCTATTGATTTCATAGGGCACCACGACCTGTGCTGCAAATACGGCGAGTGAGTGTCGGCTCCGTGTTTTACGAGGGTGGGTGAGAGAATGTGAAGGAACATCATTTCCCTTTCCAATTCTCAACTACTATTCCACCAACTCGACTACTGCTTTCAGCACCACAGCCCAAATCCATCACTTACCAACCGTATTCCACATCCCCAAACCCATCCAGCGTCACGCCCAATGGCATGCCAGGAATTGACGGCATGATCTCCACGATTGCTCACGAAGTCACCGAGGCTGCTACCAACCCTGACGTCTCGTCCGGATGGATGGCCTCGGACGGCGAAGAGAATGCCGATATGTGCGCGTGGCAGTATGGAGATGTTTCACAGGACACTGATGGTGATGGTAATATGTATGACTACAACATGGTTGGGAACGATGGGATGCGGTTCATGGTTGAAGGTAACTGGGACCTGATTACTAATTCATGCCAAATTCAAGCACAGGATGATGGGTACTAGAACTGAAATTCTTTTTGGCATGTCTTGTCCTGCTCCAACTCCTTGTTGGGAGGAGTACCTGCTATGGCTGCTAAGTCACATTCACATTCAGTCAAGAATAAAGGGGTTTATTTTGAGTTTTGGACCCTGAATTTTATATCTGCATATGTACTTCAAGTATTTGTGTTGTCCTTTTGCTAATTATAGTAGTAAGAAGATTCTTGGTTTGTGTGCCACTTTTGCACTCATCAAAATAGAGCGTTCAGTTTGGCACCATTATCTCTAAACAAACCTACCGTAAACTGTAACGACTCAGACAAAATCGATAAATCCGATCGCCAGGCTCCGTTAAAACCCGTGTCCCAAATCGCGGACCGCGAGGGTCAAGTTTTTAAAACTTGACGAAGTTGAGTGTCCAAGCTTTTGAAAGTCACGCACCTGCAATTTGGGACTTTCGAAGACAGATTCAGAGCGTATTCCAAAGCACGAACACCATCCGAAGTGGCCCCACCCGAACTTCTTGGGGCTCAGGATGGTGTCTGTGTGGGGCAGGCCCCCACTCTTGACTTTTGGGGTCGCAGGGTTGGCCAGAACGGTCGTCTGCGTCGTCTGACGCAGAGCTGGTTTGGTTTGCTTCGCGCCCAATAGAATCTGCCAGAACCCGTCGCAGTGTAGCCTCCCAAACGTCAAGTTCTGACTTCGCGGGCAATTGTGAAACTTGTGCCGCGAAATCGTTTTTCCCCCCGCTTTGAACATTAGATTTGGTTGACACTCGCGATCTGGCACTCCATCCCTTCCAACTCTATGCTTCTTGTTTCCCGTGCCTTGAAACCATACAAAACTTGCACTTGTCATAACACATTCGACACCAACTACTAGCCAGCAAAGGTCCTCTCCCACCCATTCACAATGGCTCCTAGGAAAAAATGTGCTTTTCGGGCTCAGGCAGTGGAAGAACAGTCACCCCCTGTGCCATGCCCTGATCCTCCGTTTGTTGTCTGGATGAAGCAGCAGATGGACATGGGGATCAGTCGCCTTCGCCTCATTGGAGTCACGGACTCACAGGGCACTAGTTTTGTGACGTTAACTGGTCACGGTAACTCAGCCTGTCAGGTTCAATGTCCCAATCATACACCAACATGGCATGAAACCCCTTGTCGCATGAAGACGTGCAAGACGGTCGCATGTTACGTGGCCGTCAGCTCCAAAGTGTCTTGATGCCGAACCGCGTGGCGCAACATTGAAATTAGAATTTCCAACATTGCGGACCGCGTGGCCCAACTTCGGATGGTGTCCGTGCTTTGGAATACGCCCTCACTCACCAGGGGGAACCGAGGGTTGGCTGGGTCTCGCGAAAAAAACGAACCTAGACGAAATTGCGAACTCTCGCCAAAGCCTACACCAGAAAAACTCCCTCTGGTCAACTTTTAAAAGCATGAACAATTTGGGCCGCCGGCTTTAAGGCATAGAGCAGTGATAATCGCCATTTGCCATTTCTGCGACAGCTTTCTGACACCGTCGTGTCCCGCGCAGCTGCGCCCCACACACAAGCCCCCCTGGAGTGCTCGCTCCAGACCGCGAGAGCTTTCTGATCCTCCGCCATTTCACCGAAGTACCTCTAAGCCCTACTAGTTCCTTCGCGTGGTTATGCTCGGAGCTGCTCTCGTCGTAGCTCGGATCTCGCGTTCACACGTTGGCCTGATAGCAGTCGGCAACCTTTCTTGGGGGCTCATATGATTGGGATTTGATACGCTGTTTTAAAAACAGGGAGCCTGAATATTGTAGCTATGGTCGCAATGGTGTATGTTTGAGATTGCGAGCCATCGGGGACATCCACGGTCGACCGCGAGTGACAGCGAAGGCGGTTTGTGTACGAAGCAAGGAGATAATCAGGCATGATCTAGGATCCAGATCAATTTGATTAGCTAAACAACGATCTAAATCAGTGGCACGAGCGTCAAGCGTCGTGACCGTTGTTCGTTGATCGTTGATCGTTGAGCGTCGACCGTCGATCGTCGCGATGCACGGTCGACCGCGAGTGACGGTGAAGGCTGAGGGCAGCGCGGCGGGACAGCAGAAGGCGGCGGAGTCGAACAAGAAGGCTCTTCGGCTGCGCGCCTTGCAGGAGAAGGTGCTGACGTGGCACCAGCAGAACGTGTGAGTGGCTAAGGGGAACGCTAACATACCACTGGTAAGGCATTTTGCAGAGATCAAACTTGCACGGAGCTTTTGAGTCGACTCGAGAGTCATCAGGGATTGCAGGGTGCAGTGCTGTGCACCTCAGCTCCCCGCATCGCGTTTCCATGGATTTACCGCAAAGAAGCTCCCCCCCACACCCCTCCTCCTCCCTCCACCAGCCAGCGCTGCTCTGCTGGAGCAGAGCAGCGTGTACTTGTACGTGTACGAGTACGTGTACGAGTACGAGTACGTGTACGTGTACGTGTACGAGTACGTGTACGTGTATGAGTACGTGTACGTGTACGTGTACGTGTACGATTACGTGTAAGTTCACGTTTACGTGTACGTAGCATAGATCTACCACAAAAAGGCCTTCCGTCCCGCTCCCTCTTTCCCTCCCCACCCCCACTGCCCACCCTCTGCCAGTTCTATCCCCACCAGTTATTCGCCCGAGGCACTAGCCGCCAGCGCTGCTCTGCTGGAGCAGAGCCTCGACGTGTACGTGGCGTGGAACTATTCAAGAACGTGTACGCCTCCCCCTTTCCCTCCCCCGCCCCTTGTCCCTCTGCTAGAGCAGAGCCTCGACGTGTACGTGGCGTGGAACTATTCAAGAACTCTTGCACTCGAGGCGTGGAACTACCGCGAGGAGGCTTTCCATTCCACAAGAAGGCTTCCCTTCTTTGGCTGCCCTCCCTCCTGCCTTACCACTTCCCATCAGATTCTTGCTCGAGGCACTAGCCGCCATCTGCCCCTCATTCATTACTAGCCGCCATCTGCCCCTCATTCATTACTAGCCGCCATCTGCCCCTAATTCATTACTAGCCGCCATCTGCCCCTCATTCATTACTAGCCGCCATCTGCCCCTCATTCATTACTAGCCGCCATCTGCCCCTCATTCATTACTAGCCGCCATCTGCCCCTCATTCATTACTAGCCGCCATCTGCCCCTCATTCATTACTAGCCGCCATCTGCCCCTCATTCATTACTAGCCGCCATCTGCCCCTCATTCATTACTAGCCGCCATCTGCCCCTCATTCATTACTAACCGCCATCTGCCCCTCATTCATTACTAGCCGCCATCTGCCCCTCATTCATTACTAGCCGCCATCTGCCCCTCATTCATTACTAGCCGCCATCTGCCCCTCATTCATTACTAGCCGCCATCTGCCCCTCATTCATTACTAGCCGCCATCTGCCCCTCATTCATTACTAGCCGAGCCGCCAGCGCTGCTCTGCAGGAACAGACACTCAATGTGTACTTGGCGTGGAACTGCCGCAAGAACGCTTCCCCCTTCCACCTCCCTCTCCTCCCTTTTTCCTCTGCAGGAGCAGAACCTCGATGTGCACGTGGCGTGGAACTACCTCTTTTTCCCCACTTAAAAGTGGCTTTCCCCCCTCCCCCCCCTCTTCCCTTTTTTTCCTGATTTCAGCTACTCGCCTGAGGCTCTAGCAGCCAGCGCAACTCTCCTAGAGCAGAACCCTGACGTGTATGTGGCGTGGAACTACCGCAAGAAGGCTCCCTTCTTCTCCTTCTCCCCTCCCTCTTTGCCTTTCAGTTACTCGCCAGAAGCACTAGCCGCCAGCGCTGCTCTCTTAGAACAAAACCCTGACGTGTATGTCACGTGGAACTACCGCAAGAAGGCGTTTGCCCACCGATGCGGTGCTCTGGAGGCAGGGGAGGGTGGGAGCAGGGAGGGGAAAGCGGTGCAGAGGGGTTTGGAGGTGAAAGAGGGGGAGAAGGAGGCGCAGGGGAAAGAGGGGCAGGGGGAGGGGGGGAAAGAGGCGCAAGGAGAGGGGGGATCAGGGGGGGGAGAGGTGGGGACGGATGGGGCAATGGGTGAGGCGGAGAGTGCAGGAGGGAGGGGTGACAAGAGGGGAGAGAGTGAAGTTGAGGGGAAGAATGATGGGAAGCAGGGAGAGGAGCAGGAGAGGGTGGAACGGGAGCGAGAGGAAAAGGCGAAGAAGGAAGAAGAGAAGAAGATAGAGGAAAGGAAGATAGAGGAACGGAAGATAGAGGAATGGAAGATAGAGGAACGGAAGATAGAGGAACGGAAGATCGAAGAAGCTAAGGGGAAGCTAGCAGACGAAGAGCTGAAGCTGGTGAGTGAGTAAACGGCGTGGCTGATGGTACCATTGGCATAACGTGCGAGTCTGACAATGGTACACTCACTGAGTCGCTCCTGAGAATTCGAAAAAAACGGACGAAGATCTGTAACTGGTGAGTAGTTTTGAGTGACCAATAGTACGTTTGGCACAATAGCGAGTCTGCCAATACTACACTGGACTGGATGAGGAGGTTGGCTCAAACCAACCCCCCACCCCTCCTCTTAACTCATCCCCTCCCCCCTCCATTGCTACTCTCCCTCACACATGCAAAACAGATAGAAGCAGCGGTACGGCACCTGGCCTGGCACCACCGCAAGTGGCTTCTTGAGTCGCCTCAGAGATGTATCCTTTAACTCTCTCCGTTCCTCCTCTTCCCCCCAAACACTCACATCAGATAGAAGCAGCGCTACGGTACGGACCAACCCCAAGTGCTACGGCGCCTGGCACGAGTCACCGCAAAGATCTATCCTTTAACTCTCTCCGTTCCTCCTCTTCCCCCCAAACACTCACATCAGATAGAAGCAGCGCTACGGTACGGACCAACCCCAAGTGCTACGGCGCCTGGCACGAGTCACCTCAAATATCTATCCTTTAACTCTCTCCGTTCCTCCCCTCCCCTTAAACACACACAACAGATAGAAGCAGCACTATGGCGCCTGGCCTGGCACCACCGCAAGTGGCTTCTTGAGTCACCTCAGAAATGTATCCTTCAACTCTCCCTCTCCAACCCAACTTCTTCCAAACACTCGCAACAGATAGAAGCAGCCCTACGGACCAACCCCAAGTGCTACGGCGCCTGGCACCACCGCAAGTGGCTCTTCGCCCTCTCCTCCACCGAGCCTCTCCCAAGCCTCGGAGCCAACCTCGGGCCGAGCCTGCAGCAGGTTCGGATCAATCTGCGGACGGAGGCTCGGATCGCCCGGGAGCAGAAGCTGTTGGGGATGATGCTGAGTGCCGATGATCGGAACTTCCATGCCTGGGACTACTGGAGGTGAGAGAGGGATTGAGAGCGGTATTGATGGGTATGGGTGGTGGTGATGCGGATGTTGCTGGGGATGATGCTGAGTGCCGATGATCGGAACTTCCACGCCTGGGACTACTGGAGGTAACGGTGGTGAGGGGTGATGATGGGTGTGTATGGTGATATTGCAGGTTGATGCTGAGAGCAGATGATCGGAATTTCCATGCCTGGGAGTACTGGAGATGTTGTAGGGATTGAGAGCGGTGCTGATGGGTGGGTGGTGATGCAGATGCTGTGGGGTTACAACCTTGCTCGCCTGCCACCATTCAGTTCCACCCATCTCATCTTCTCAGTTCCACCCATCTCATCTTGTCAGTTCCACCCATCTCATCTTCTCAGTTCCACCCATCTCATCTTCTCAGTTCCACCCATCTCATCTTCTCAGTTCCACCCATCTCATCTTCTCAGTTCCACCCATCTCATCTTGTCAGTTCCACCCATCTCATCTTGTCAGTTCCACCCATCTCATCTTGTCAGTTCCACCCATCTCATCTTGTCAGTTCCACCCATCTCATCTTGTCAGTTCCACCCATCTCATCTTGTCAGTTCCACCCATCTCATCGTCTCAGTTCCACCCATCTCATCTTCTCAGTTCCACCCATCTCATCTTCTCAGTTCCACCCATCTCATCTTCTCAGTTCCACCCATCTCATCTTGTCAGTTCCACCCATCTCATCTTCTCAGTTCCACCCATCTCATCTTCTCAGTTCCACCCATCTCATCTTGTCAGTTCCACCCATCTCATCTTTTCAGTTCCACCCATCTCATCTTCTCAGTTCCACCCATCTCATCTTGTCAGTTCCACCCATCTCATCTTGTCAGTTCCACCCATCTCATCTTGTCAGTTCCACCCATCTCATCTTGTCAGTTCCACCCATCTCATCTTGTCAGTTCCACCCATCTCATCTTCTCAGTTCCACCCATCTCATCTTCTCAGTTCCACCCATCTCATCTTGTCAGTTCCACCCATCTCATCTTGTCAGTTCCACCCATCTCATCTTGTCAGTTCCACCCATCTCATCTTCTCAGTTCCACCCATCTCATCATCTCAGTTCCACCCATCTCATCTTGTCAGTTCCACCCATCTCATCTTGTCAGTTCCACCCATCTCATGTTCTCAGTTCCACCCATCTCATCTTATCAGTTCCACCCATCTCATCTTCTCAGTTCCACCCATCTCATCTTCTCAGTTCCACCCATCTCATCTTGTCAGTTCCACCCATCTCATCTTCTCAGTTCCACCCATCTCATCTTCTCAGTTCCACCCATCTCATCTTGTCAGTTCCACCCATCTCACCTTTTCAGTTCCACCCATCTCATCTTCTCAGTTCCACCCATCTCATCTTGTCAGTTCCACCCATCTCATCTTGTCAGTTCCACCCATCTCATCTTGTCAGTTCCACCCATCTCATCTTGTCAGTTCCACCCATCTCATCTTGTCAGTTCCACCCATCTCATCTTCTCAGTTCCACCCATCTCATCTTCTCAGTTCCACCCATCTCATCTTGTCAGTTCCACCCATCTCATCTTGTCAGTTCCACCCATCTCATCTTGTCAGTTCCACCCATCTCATCTTCTCAGTTCCACCCATCTCATCTTGTCAGATCCACCCATCTCATCTTCTCAGTTCCACCCATCTCATCTTCTCAGTTCCGCCCATCTCATCTTCTCAGTTCCACCCATCTCATCTTCTCAGATCCACCCATCTCATCTTCTCAGTTCCACCCATCTCATCTTCTCAGATCCACCCATCTCATCTTCTCAGTTCCACCCATCTCATCTTCTCAGTTCCACCCATCTCATCTTCTCAGATCCACCCATCTCATCTTCTCAGTTCCACCCATCTCATCTTCTCAGTTCCGCCCATCTCATCTTCTCAGTTCCACCCATCTCATCTTCTCAGTTCCACCCATCTCATCTTCTCAGTTCCACCCATCTCATCTTCTCAGTTCCACCCATCTCATCTTCTCAGTTCCACCCATCTCATCTTCTCAGTTCCACCCATCTCATCTTCTCAGTTCCACCCATCTCATCTTCTCAGTTCCACCCATCTGATCTTCTCAGTTCCACCCATCTCATCTTGTCAGTTCCACCCATCTCATCTTGTCAGTTCCACCCATCTCATCTTGTCAGTTCCACCCATCTCATCTTCTCAGTTCCACCCATCTCATCTTGTCAGTTCCACCCATCTCATCTTGTCAGTTCCACCCATCTCATCTTCTCAGTTCCACCCATCTCATCATCTCAGTTCCACCCATCTCATCTTGTCAATTCCACCCATCTCATCTTGTCAGTTCCACCCATCTCATGTTCTCAGTTCCACCCATCTCATCTTATCAGTTCCACCCATCTCATCTTCTCAGTTCCACCCATCTCATCTTCTCAGTTCCACCCATCTCATCTTCTCAGTTCCACCCATCTCATCTTCTCAGTTCCACCCATCTCATCTTCTCAGTTCCACCCATCTCATCTTCTCAGTTCCACCCATCTCATCTTGTCAGTTCCACCCATCTCATCTTCTCAGTTCCACCCATCTCATCTTGTCAGTTCCACCCATCTCATCTTCTCAGTTCCACCCATCTCATCTTGTCAGTTCCACCCATCTCATCTTCTCAGTTCCACCCATCTCATCTTCTCAGTTCCACCCATCTCATCTTGTCAGTTCCACCCATCTCATCTTGTCAGTTCCACCCATCTCATCTTGTCAGTTCCACCCATCTCATCTTCTCAGTTCCACCCATCTAATCTTCTCAGTTCAACCCATCTCATCTTCTCAGTTCCACCCATCTCATCTTCTCAGTTCCACCCATCTCATCTTGTCAGTTCCACCCATCTCATCTTGTCAGTTCCACCCATCTCATCTTCTCAGTTCCACCCATCTCATCTTGTCAGTTCCACCCATCTCATCTTGTCAGTTCCACCCATCTCATCTTGTCAGTTCCACCCATCTCATCTTCTCAGTTCCACCCATCTCATCTTGTCAATTCCACCCATCTCATCTTGTCAGTTCCACCCATCTCATCTTCTCAGTTCCACCCATCTCATCTTGTCAGTTCCACCCATCTCATCTTGTCAGTTCCACCCATCTCATCTTGTCAGTTCCACCCATCCCATCTTGTCAGTTCCACCCATCTCATCTTGTCAGTTCCACCCATCTCATCTTCTCAGTTCCACCCATCTCATCTTCTCAGTTCCACCCATCTCATCTTGTCAGGTCCACCCATCTCATCTTGTCAGTTCCACCCATCTCATCTTCTCAGTTCCACCCATCTCATCTTGTCAGTTCCACCCATCTCATCTTCTCAGTTCCACCCATCTCATCTTGTCAGTTCCACCCATCTCATGTTCTCAGTTCCACCCATCTCATCTTATCAGTTCCACCCATCTCATCTTCTCAGTTCCACCCATCTCATCTTCTCAGATCCACCCATCTCATCTTCTCAGTTCCACCCATCTCATCTTGTCAGTTCCACCCATCTCATCTTCTCAGTTCCACCCATCTCATCTTGTCAGTTCCACCCATCTCATCTTCTCAGTTCCACCCATCTCATCTTGTCAGTTCCACCCATCTCATCTTCTCAGTTCCACCCATCTCATCTTGTCAGTTCCACCCATCTCATCTTCTCAGTTCCACCCATCTCATCTTCTCAGTTCCACCCATCTCATCTTGTCAGTTCCACCCATCTCATCTTGTCAGTTCCACCCATCTCATCTTGTCAGTTCCACCCATCTCATCTTCTCAGTTCCACCCATCTCATCTTCTCAGTTCCACCCATCTCATCTTCTCAGTTCCACCCATCTCATCTTCTCAGTTCCACCCATCTAATCTTCTCAGTTCAACCCATCTCATCTTCTCAGTTCCACCCATCTCATCTTCTCAGTTCCACCCATCTCATCTTGTCAGTTCCACCCATCTCATCTTGTCAGTTCCACCCATCTCATCTTCTCAATTCCACCCATCTCATCTTCTCAGTTCCACCCATCTCATCTTGTCAGTTCCACCCATCTCATCTTGTCAGTTCCACCCATCTCATCTTCTCAGTTCCACCCATCTCATCTTGTCAATTCCACCCATCTCATCTTGTCAGTTCCACCCATCTCATCTTCTCAGTTCCACCCATCTCATCTTGTCAGTTCCACCCATCTCATCTTGTCAGTTCCACCCATCTCATCTTGTCAGTTCCACCCATCCCATCTTGTCAGTTCCACCCATCTCATCTTGTCAGTTCCACCCATCTCATCTTCTCAGTTCCACCCATCTCATCTTCTCAGTTCCACCCATCTCATCTTGTCAGTTCCACCCATCTCATCTTGTCAGTTCCACCCATCTCATCTTGTCAGTTCCACCCATCTCATCTTGTCAGTTCCACCCATCTCATCTTGTCAGTTCCACCCATCTCATCTTCTCAGTTCCACCCATCTCATCTTGTCAGTTCCACCCATCTCATCTTCTCAGTTCCACCCATCTCATCTTGTCAGTTCCACCCATCTCATCTTGTCAGTTCCACCCATCTCATCGTCTCAGTTCCACCCATCTCATGTTCTCAGTTCCACCCATCTCATCTTCTCAGTTCCACCCATCTCATCTTGTCAGTTCCACCCATCTCATCTTGTCAGTTCCACCTATCTCATCTTGTCAGTTCCACCCATCTCATCTTGTCAGTTCCACCCATCTCATCTTGTCAGTTCCACCCATCTCATCTTCTCAGTTCCACCCATCTCATCGTCTCAGTTCCACCCATCTCATCTTCTCAGTTCCACCCATCTCATCTTCTCAGTTCCACCCATCTCATCTTCTCAGTTCCACCCATCTCATCCTGTCAGTTCCACCCATCTCATCTTGTCAGTTCCACCCATCTCATCTTGTCAGTTCCACCCATCTTATCTTGTCAGTTCCACCCATCTCATCTTCTCAGTTCCACCCATCTCATCTTGTCAGTTCCACCCATCTCATCTTGTCAGTTCCACCCATCTCATCTTCTCAGTTCCACCCATCTCATCTTCTCAGTTCCACCCATCTCATCTTCTCAGTTCCACCCATCTAATCTTCTCAGTTCCACCCATCTCATCTTCTCAGTTCCACCCATCTCATCTTCTCAGTTCCACCCATCTCATCTTCTCAGTTCCACCCATCTCATCTTCTCAGTTCCACCCATCTCATCTTCTCAGTTCCACCCATCTCATCTTGTCAGTTCCACCCATCTCATCTTGTCAGTTCCACCCATCTCATCTTGTCAGTTCCACCCATCTCATCTTCTCAGTTCCACCCATCTCATCTTTTCAGTTCCACCCATCTCATCTTGTCAGTTCCACCCATCTCATCTTCTCAGTTCCACCCATCTCATCATCTCAGTTCCACCCATCTCATCTTGTCAGTTCCACCCATCTCATCTTGTCAGTTCCACCCATCTCATGTTCTCAGTTCCACCCATCTCATCTTATCAGTTCCACCCATCTCATCTTCTCAGTTCCACCCATCTCATCTTCTCAGTTCCACCCATCTCATCTTCTCAGATCCACCCATCTCATCTTCTCAGTTCCACCCATCTCATCTTGTCAGTTCCACCCATCTCATCTTCTCAGTTCCACCCATCTCATCTTGTCAGTTCCACCCATCTCATCTTCTCAGTTCCACCCATCTCATCTTGTCAGTTCCACCCATCTCATCTTCTCAGTTCCACCCATCTCATCTTGTCAGTTCCACCCATCTCATCTTCTCAGTTCCACCCATCTCATCTTCTCAGTTCCACCCATCTCATCTTGTCAGTTCCACCCATCTCATCTTGTCAGTTCCACCCATCTCATCTTGTCAGTTCCACCCATCTCATCTTCTCAGTTCCACCCATCTCATCTTCTCAGTTCCACCCATCTCATCTTGTCAGTTCCACCCATCTCATCTTGTCAGTTCCACCCATCTCATCTTCTCAGTTCCACCCATCTCATCTTGTCAGTTCCACCCATCTCATCTTCTCAGTTCCACCCATCTCATCTTCTCAGTTCCACCCATCTCATCTTCTCAGTTCCACCCATCTCATCTTCTCAGTTCAACCCATCTCATCTTCTCAGTTCCACCCATCTCATCTTCTCAGTTCCACCCATCTCATCTTGTCAGTTCCACCCATCTCATCTTCTCAGTTCCACCCATCTCATCTTCTCAGTTCCACCCATCTCATCTTCTCAGTTCAACCCATCTCATCTTCTCAGTTCCACCCATCTCATCTTCTCAGTTCCACCCATCTCATCTTGTCAGTTCCACCCATCTCATCTTCTCAGTTCCACCCATCTCATCTTCTCAGTTCCACCCATCTCATCTTCTCAGTTCCACCCATCTCATCTTCTCAGATCCACCCATCTCATCTTCTCAGTTCCACCCATCTCATCTTGTCAGTTCCACCCATCTCATCTTCTCAGTTCCACCCATCTCATCTTGTCAGTTCCACCCATCTCATCTTCTCAGTTCCACCCATCTCATCTTGTCAGTTCCACCCATCTCATCTTCTCAGTTCCACCCATCTCATCTTCTCAGTTCCACCCATCTCATCTTGTCAGTTCCACCCATCTCATCTTGTCAGTTCCACCCATCTCATCTTGTCAGTTCCACCCATCTCATCTTGTCAGTTCCACCCATCTCATCTTCTCAGTACCACCCATCTCATCTTGTCAGTTCCATCCATCTCATCTTGTCAGTTCCACCCATCTCATCTTCTCAGTTCCACCCATCTCATCTTCTCAGTTCCACCCATCTCATCTTCTCAGTTCCACCCATCTCATCTTCTCAGTTCCACCCATCTCATCTTGTCAGTTCCACCCATCTCATCTTGTCAGTTCCACCCATCTCATCTTGTCAGTTCCACCCATCTCATCTTCTCAGTTCCACCCATCTCATCTTGTCAGTTCCACCCATCTCATCTTGTCAGTTCCACCCATCTCATCTTCTCAGTTCCACCCATCTCATCATCTCAGTTCCACCCATCTCATCTTGTCAGTTCCACCCATCTCATCTTGTCAGTTCCACCCATCTCATGTTCTCAGTTCCACCCATCTCATCTTATCAGTTCCACCCATCTCATCTTCTCAGTTCCACCCATCTCATCTTCTCAGTTCCACCCATCTCATCTTCTCAGTTCCACCCATCTCATCTTCTCAGATCCACCCATCTCATCTTCTCAATTCCACCCATCTCATCTTCTCAGTTCCACCCATCTCATTTTGTCAGTTCCACCCATCTCATCTTCTCAGTTCCACCCATCTCATCTTGTCAGTTCCACCCATCTCATCTTCTCAGTTCCACCCATCTCATCTTCTCAGTTCCACCCATCTCATCTTGTCAGTTCCACCCATCTCATCTTCTCAGTTCCACCCATCTCATCTTGTCAGTTCCACCCATCTCATCTTCTCAGTTCCACCCATCTCATCTTCTCAGTTCCACCCATCTCATCTTGTCAGTTCCACCCATCTCATCTTGTCAGTTCCACCCATCTCATCTTGTCAGTTCCACCCATCTCATCTTCTCAGTTCCACCCATCTCATCTTCTCAGTTCCACCCATCTCATCTTCTCAGTTCCACCCATCTCATCTTCTCAGTTCCACCCATCTCATCTTCTCAGTTCAACCCATCTCATCTTCTCAGTTCCACCCATCTCATCTTCTCTGTTCCACCCATCTCATCTTGTCAGTTCCACCCTTCTCATCTTGTCAGTTCCACCCATCTCATCTTCTCAGTTCCACCCGTCTCATCTTCTCAGTTCCACCCATCTCATCTTCTCAGTTCCACCCATCCCATCTTGTCAGTTCCACCCATCTCATCTTCTCAGTTCCACCCATCTCATCTTGTCAGTTCCACCCATCTCATCTTCTCTGTTCCACCCATCTCATCTTGTCAGTTCCACCCATCTCATCGTCTCAGTTCCACCCATCTCATCTTCTCAGTTCCACCCATCTCATCTTCTCAGTTCCACCCATCTCATCTTCTCAGTTCCACCCATCTCATCTTGTCAGTTCCACCCATCTCATCTTCTCAGTTCCACCCATCTCATCTTCTCAGTTCCACCCATCTCATCTTCTCAGTTCCACCCATCTCATCTTCTCAGTTCCACCCATCTCATCTTCTCAGTTCCACCCATCTCATCTTCTCAGTTCCACCCATCTCATCTTGTCAGTTCCACCCATCTCATCTTGTCAGTTCCACCCATCTCATCTTGTCAGTTCCACCCATCTCATCTTGTCAGTTCCACCCATCTCATCTTCTCAGTTCCACCCATCTCATCTTGTCAGTTCCACCCATCTCATCTTGTCAGTTCCACCCATCTCATCTTCTCAGTTCCACCCATCTCATCTAGTCAGTTCCACCCATCTCATCTTCTCAGTTCCACCCATCTCATCTTCTCAGTTCCACCCATCTCATCTTGTCAGTTCCACCCATCTCATCTTGTCAGTTCCACCCATCTCATCTTGTCAGTTCCACCCATCTCATCTTCTCAGTTCCACCCATCTCATCTTCTCAGTTCCACCCATCTCATCTTGTCAGTTCCACCCATCTCATCTTGTCAGTTCCACCCATCTCATCTTGTCAGTTCCACCCATCTCATCTTCTCAGTTCCACCCATCTCATCTTCTCAGTTCCACCCATCTCATCTTCTCAGTTCCACCCATCTCATCTTGTCAGTTCCACCCATCTCATCTTGTCAGTTCCACCCATCTCATCTTGTCAGTTCCACCCATCTCATCTTCTCAGTACCACCCATCTCATCTTGTCAGTTCCATCCATCTCATCTTGTCAGTTCCACCCATCTCATCTTCTCAGTTCCACCCATCTCATCTTCTCAGTTCCACCCATCTCATCTTCTCAGTTCCACCCGTCTCATCTTCTCAGTTCCACCCATCTCATCTTCTCAGTTCCACCCATCTCATCTTGTCAATTCCACCCATCTCATCTTCTCAGTTCCACCCATCTCATCTTGTCAGTTCCACCCATCTCATCTTCTCTGTTCCACCCATCTCATCTTGTCAGTTCCACCCATCTCATCGTCTCAGTTCCACCCATCTCATCTTCTCAGTTCCACCCATCTCATCTTCTCAGTTCCACCCATCTCATCTTGTCAGTTCCACCCATCTCATCTTCTCAGTTCCACCCATCTCATCTTGTCAGTTCCACCCATCTCATCTTGTCAGTTCCACCCATCTCATCTTCTCAGTTCCACCCATCTCATCTTGTCAGTTCCACCCATCTCATCTTCTCAGTTCCACCCATCTCATCTTGTCAGTTCCACCCATCTCATCTTCTCAGTTGCACCCATCTCATCTTGTCAGTTCCACCCATCTCATCTTCTCAGTTCCACCCATCTCATCTTCTCAGTTCCACCCATCTCATCTTCTCAGTTCCACCCATCTCATCTTCTCAGTTCCACCCATCTCATCTTTTCAGTTCCACCCATCTCATCTTCTCAGTTCCACCCATCTCATCTTCTCAGTTCCACCCATCTCATCTTGTCAGTTCCACCCATCTCATCTTGTCAGTTCCACCCATCTCATCTTGTCAGTTCCACCCATCTCATCTTCTCAGTTCCACCCATCTCATCTTGTCAGTTCCACCCATCTCATCTTGTCAGTTCCACCCATCTCATCTTCTCAGTTCCACCCATCTCATCTTCTCAGTTCCACCCATCTCATCTTCTCAGTTCCACCCATCTCATCTTCTCAGTTCCACCCATCTCATCTTGTCAGTTCCACCCATCTCATCTTCTCAGTTCCACCCATCTCATCTTGTCAGTTCCACCCATCTCATCTTCTCAGTTCCACCCATCTCATCTTCTCAGTTCCACCCATCTCATCTTCTCAGTTCCACCCATCTCATCTTCTCAGTTCCACCCATCTCAATCTCTCAGTTCCACCCATCTCATCTTCTCAGTTCCACCCATCGCATCTTCTCAGTTCCACCCATCTCATCTTCTCAGTTCCACCCATCTCATCTTGTTAGTTCCACCCATCTCATCTTCTCAGTTCCACCCATCTCATCTTGTCAGTTCCACCCATCTCATCTTCTCAGTTCCACCCATCTCATCTTGTCAGTTCCACCCATCTCATCTTCTCAGTTCCACCCATCTCATCTTGTCAGTTCCACCCATCTCATCTTCTCAGTTCCACCCATCTCATCTTGTCAGTTCCACCCATCTCATCTTCTCAGTTCCACCCATCTCATCTTGTCAGTTCCACCCATCTCATCTTGTCAGTTCCACCCATCTCATCTTCTCAGTTCCACCCATCTCATCTTCTCAGTTCCACCCATCTCATCTTCTCAGTTCCACCCATCTCATCTTGTCAGTTCCACCCATCTCATCTTCTCAGATCCACCCATCTCATCTTGTCAGTTCCACCCATCTCATCTTGTCAGTTCCACCCATCTCATCTTCTCAGTTCCACCCATCTCATCTTCTCAGTTCCACCCATCTCATCTTCTCAGTTCCACCCATCTCATCTTGTCAGTTCCACCCATCTCATCTTCTCAGTTGCACCCATCTCATCTTGTCAGTTCCACCCATCTCATCTTCTCAGTTCCACCCATCTCATCTTCTCAGTTCCACCCATCTCATCTTCTCAGTTCCACCCATCTCATCTTCTCAGTTCCACCCATCTCATCTTCTCAGTTCCACCCATCTCATCTTCTCGGTTCCACCCATCTCATCTTCTCAGTTCCACCCATCTCATCTTGTCAGTTCCACCCATCTCATCTTCTCAGTTCCACCCATCTCATTTTCTCAGTTCCACCCATCTCATCTTGTCAGTTCCACCCATCTCATCTTGTCAGTTCCACCCATCTCATCTTCTCAGTTCCACCCATCTCATCTTCTCAGTTCCACCCATCTCATCTTGTCAGTTCCACCCATCTCATCTTGTCAGTTCCACCCATCTCATCTTCTTTGATCCACCCATCTCATCTTCTCAGTTCCACCCATCTCATCTTGTCAGTTCCACCCATCTCATCTTCTCAGTTCCACCCATCTCATCTTGTCAGTTCCACCCATCTCATCTTCTCAGTTCCACCCATCTCATCTTGTCAGTTCCACCCATCTCATCTTCTCAGTTCCACCCATCTCATCTTCTCAGTTCCACCCATCTCATCTTGTCAGTTCCACCCATCTCATCTTGTCAGTTCCACCCATCTCATCTTGTCAGTTCCACCCATCTCATCTTCTCAGTTCCACCCATCTCATCTTCTCAGTTCCACCCATCTCATCTTGTCAGTTCCACCCATCTCATCTTGTCAGTTCCACCCATCTCATCTTCTCAGTTCCACCCATCTCATCTTCTCAGTTCCACCCATCTCATCTTGTCAGTTCCACCCATCTCATCTTGTCAGTTCCACCCATCTCATCTTCTCAGTTCCACCCATCTCATCTTGTCAGTTCCACCCATCTCATCTTGTCAGTTCCACCCATCTCATCTTCTCAGTTCCACCCATCTGATCTTCTCAGTTCCACCCATCTCATCTTCTCAGTTCCACCCATCTCATCTTCTCAGTTCCACCCATCTCATCTTCTCAGTTCCACCCATCTCATCTTCTCAGTTCCACCCATCTCATCTTGTCAGTTCCACCCATCTCATCTTGTCAGTTCCACCCATCTCATCTTGTCAGTTCCACCCATCTCATCTTGTCAGTTCCACCCATCTCATCTTCTCAGTTCCACCCATCTCATCTTGTCAGTTCCACCCATCTCATCTTGTCAGTTCCACCCATCTCATCTTGTCAGTTCCACCCATCTCATCTTGTCAGTTCCACCCATCTCATCTTGTCAGTTCCACCCATCTCATCTTGTCAGTTCCACCCATCTCATCTTGTCAGTTCCACCCATCTCATCTTCTCAGTTCCACCCATCTCATCTTGTCAGTTCCACCCATCTCATCTTGTCAGTTCCACCCATTTCATCTTGTCAGTTCCACCCATCTCATCTTCTCAGTTCCACCCATCTCATCTTGTCAGTTCCACCCATCTCATCTTATCAGTTCCACCCATCTCATCTTCTCAGTTCCACCCATCTCATCTTGTCAGTTCCACCCATCTCATCTTGTCAGTTCCACCCATCTCATCTTGTCAGTTCCACCCATCTCATCTTCTCAGTTCCACCCATCTCATCTTCTCAGTTCCACCCATCTCATCTTCTCAGTTCCACCCATTTCATCTTGTCAGTTCCACCCATCTCATCTTGTCAGTTCCACCCATCTCATCTTATCAGTTCCACCCATCTCATCTTGTCAGTTCCACCCATCTCATCTTGTCAGTTCCACCCATCGCATCTTGTCAGTTCCACCCATCTCATCTTGTCAGTTCCACCCATCTCATCTTCTCAGTTCCACCCATCTCATCTTGTCAGTTCCACCCATCTCATCTTATCAGTTCCACCCATCTCATCTTCTCAGTTCCACCCATCTCATCTTGTCAGTTCCACCCATCTCATCTTCTCAGTTCCACCCATCTCATCTTCTCAGTTCCACCCATCTCATCTTCTCAGTTCCACCCATCTCATCTTGTCAGTTCCACCCATCTCATCTTCTCAGTTCCACCCATCTCATCTTCTCAGTTCCACCCATCTCATCTTCTCAGTTCCACCCATCTCATCTTGTCAGTTCCACCCATCTCATCTTGTCAGTTCCACCCATCTCATCTTGTCAGTTCCACCCATCTCATCTTCTCAGTTCCACCCATCTCATCTTCTCGGTTCCACCCATCTCATCTTCTCAGTTCCACCCATCTCATCTTCTCAGTTCCACCCATCTCATCTTCTCAGTTCCACCCATCTCATCTTCTCAGTTCCACCCATCTCATCTTGTCAGTTCCACCCATCTCATCTTGTCAGTTCCACCCATCTCATCTTATCACTTCCACCCATCTCATCTTGTCAGTTCCACCCATATCATCTTGTCAGTTCCACCCATCTCATCTTGTCAGTTCCACCCATCTCATCTTGTCAGTTCCACCCATCTCATCTTGTCAGTTCCACCCATCTCATCTTGTCAGTTCCACCCATCTCATCTTGTCTGTTCCACCCATCTCATCTTGTCAGTTCCACCCATCTCATCTTGTCAGTTCCACCCATCTCATCTTCTCAGTTCCACCCATCTCATCTTCTCAGTTCCACCCATCTCATCTTCTCAGTTCCACCCATCTCATCTTCTCAGTTCCAGCCATCTCATCTTGTCAGTTCCACCCATCTCATCTTGTCAGTTCCACCCATCTCATCTTGTCAGTTCCACCCATCTCATCTTCTCAGTTCCACCCATCTCATCTTGTCAGTTCCACCCATCTCATCTTGTCAGTTCCACCCATCTCATCTTGACAGTTCCACCCATCTCCTCTTGTCAGTTCCACCCATCTCATCTTGTCAGTTCCACCCATCTCATCTTGTCAGTTCCACCCATCTCATCTTGTCAGTTCCACCCATCTCATCTTCTCAGTTCCACCCATCTCATCTTCTCAGTTCCACCCATCTCATCTTCTCAGTTCCACCCATCTCATCTTGTCAGTTCCACCCATCTCATCTTCTCAGTTCCACCCATCTCATCTTGTCAGTTCCACCCATCTCATCTTGTCAGTTCCACCCATCTCATCTTGTCAGTTCCACCCATCTCATCTTCTCAGTTCCACCCATCTCATCTTCTCAGTTCCACCCATCTCATCTTGTCAGTTCCTTCCATCTCATCTTCTCAGTTCCACCCATCTCATCTTGTCAGTTCCACCCATCTCATCTTCTCAGTTCCACCCATCTCATCTTGTCAGTTCCACCCATCTCATCTTCTCAGTTCCACCCATCTCATCTTGTCAGTTCCACCCATCTCATCTTGTCAGTTCCACCCATCTCATCTTCTCAGTTCCACCCATCTCATCTTGTCAGTTCCACCCATCTCATCTTGTCAGTTCCACCCATCTCATCTTCTCAGTTCCACCCATCTCATCTTGTCAGTTCCACCCATCTCATCTTGTCAGTTCCACCCATCTCATCTTCTCAGTTCCACCCATCTCATCTTGTCAGTTCCACCCATCTCATCTTCTCAGTTCCACCCATCTCATCTTGTCAGTTCCACCCATCTCATCGTCTCAGTTCCACCCATCTCATCTTCTCAGTTCCACCCATCTCATCTTCTCAGTTCCACCCATCTCATCTTGTCAGTTCCACCCATCTCATCTTGTCAGTTCCACCCATCTCATCTTGTCAGTTCCACCCATCTCATCTTGTCAGTTCCACCCATCTCATCTTCTCAGTTCCACCCATCTCATCTTGTCAGTTCCACCCATCTCATCTTGTCAGTTCCACCCATCTCATCTTGTCAGTTCCACCCATCTCATCTTCTCAGTTCCACCCATCTCATCTTGTCAGTTCCACCCATCTCATCTTGTCAGTTCCACCCATCTCATCTTGTCAGTTCCACCCATCTCATCTTCTCAGTTCCACCCATCTCATCTTCTCAGTTCCACCCATCTCATCTTGTCAGTTCCACCCATTTCATCTTGTCAGTTCCACCCATCTCATCTTCTCAGTTCCACCCATCTCATCTTGTCAGTTCCACCCATCTCATCTTATCAGTTCCACCCATCTCATCTTCTCAGTTCCACCCATCTCATCCTGTCAGTTCCACCCATCTCATCTTGTCAGTTCCACCCATCTCATCTTGTCAGTTCCACCCATCTCATCTTCTCAGTTCCACCCATCTCATCTTCTCAGTTCCACCCATCTCATCTTCTCAGTTCCACCCATCTCATCTTGTCAGTTCCACCCATCTCATCTTGTCAGTTCCACCCATCTCATCTTATCAGTTCCACCCATCTCATCTTGTCAGTTCCACCCATCTCATCTTGTCAGTTCCACCCATCTCATCTTGTCAGTTCCACGCATCTCATCTTGTCAGTTCCACCCATCTCATCTTCTCAGTTCCACCCATCTCATCTTGTCAGTTCCACCCATCTCATCTTGTCAGTTCCACCCATCTCATCTTGTCAGTTCCACCCATCTCATCTTGTCAGTTCCACCCATCTCATCTTGTCAGTTCCACCCATCTCATCTTGTCAGTTCCACCCATCTCATCTTGTCAGTTCCACCCATCTCATCTTCTCAGTTCCACCCATCTCATCTTGTCAGTTCCACCCATCTCATCTTGTCAGTTCCACCCATTTCATCTTGTCAGTTCCACCCATCTCATCTTCTCAGTTCCACCCATCTCATCTTGTCAGTTCCACCCATCTCATCTTATCAGTTCCACCCATCTCATCTTCTCAGTTCCACCCATCTCATCCTGTCAGTTCCACCCATCTCATCTTGTCAGTTCCACCCATCTCATCTTGTCAGTTCCACCCATCTCATCTTCTCAGTTCCACCCATCTCATCTTCTCAGTTCCACCCATCTCATCTTCTTAGTTCCACCCATCTCATCTTGTCAGTTCCACCCATCTCATCTTCTCAGTTCCACCCATCTCATCTTCTCAGTTCCACCCATCTCATCTTGTCAGTTCCACCCATCTCATCTTCTCAGTTCCACCCATCTCATCTTGTCAGTTCCACCCATCTCATCTTGTCAGTTCCACCCATCTCATCTTGTCAGTTCCACCCATCTCATCTTATCAGTTCCACCCATCTCATCTTGTCAGTTCCACCCATCTCATCTTCTCAGTTCCACCCATCTCATCTTCTCAGTTCCACCCATCTCATCTTCTCAGTTCCACCCATCTCATCTTGTCAGTTCCACCCATCTCATCTTGTCAGTTCCACCCATCTCATCTTGTCAGTTCCACCCATCTCATCTTCTAAGTTCCACCCATCTCATCTTGTCAGTTCCACCCATCTCATCTTGTCAGTTCCACCCATCTCATCTTGTCAGTTCCACCCATCTCATCTTGTCAGTTCCACCCATCTCATCTTGTCAGTTCCACCCAT